CCACCTACCACAATTCTAGTTTATATAGGTCTGTTTGGTTGAGCTGTGGCTGTGGGAGAAAGCTGTTGTGGGCTGTGAGCTGTAGAAAAGCTGAAAGTTGTTTGGTTAAACAAGTATAAAATATACCTTTTATCTTTATCTCTCTTGAAATAACTATGGAAGAGCTTTTTATTCCACCAATTTCGAAAAGCAGAAAGCCAAAAGCCAAAAGCAGGGTCAAACCAGCTTTCAAAAATGAACTACGGAAAAGCAGTTGCTTCTGAAAAAGCACCCTCCAAAAGCAGCCCATTTGGTTGGGCTTTTGGCTTTTGGGGCCAAAAGCCAAAGCCAAAAGCCCAACCAAACAGGGCCATAGTCTCTATCCACACAATGGCTATGTCACTATGCTAAGTTAGTATGCTCTCAAAAGCTAACTAAAGAGCCACACTAATAAAACTAACAAGCTCTCACAACAAGCTACACTAAAGAGCTTGACAACTAGTTTACGGTAATGTAAAGAGAGATAGCAAGATGGTTATATCGCTGAGTCAAAGAATGAACCAATCAATCATAAGAATGAATACCAATGAAGACCAATCACCTCAGAATCAAATGATGACACAATGATTTTTTATCGAAGTTCCTTTGCTTGCCGGTAAGCTAGTCCTCATTGTGGTGATTCACTCACTTGGAGGTTCACACGCTAATTGGCATCACACGCTAAACCCTCAATAGGGTGCTGCACAACCAATACAATATGAGGATCACACAAGCCACGAGTAATTTAGTAGAGTACCTTTTGGCTCTCCGTCGGAGAAAGGTTAAGAACCCCTCACAATCACCACGATCGGAGCCGGAGACAATCACCAACCTCCGCTCGATGATCCTCGCTGCTCCAAGCCATCTAGGTGGCGGCAACCACCAAGAGTAACAAGCGAATCCCACAGTGAAACATGAACCCCAAGTACCTCTAGATGCAAACACTCAAGCAATGCACTTGGATTCACTTCCAATCTCATAAAGATGATGAATCAATGATAGAGATGAATGTGAGGGCTTTGGCTAAGCTCACAAGATTGCTATATCAATGCAAATGGCCAAGGGGGCGAGCTAGAGCTGGCCTACATGCCTTTAAATAGAGTCCCCAACGAATAGAACTGTTGGGCTCACAGAGCAGCCCACTACGCACCGACCGGACGCGCTGGTCATACTGACCGGACTCAGGACCCCAGCGTCCGGTACGTGGATGTCTGCCACATGTCCCTCCTTTGATTTTCCACCACACGATCTGAACGGTCGAATCACAGTGTCTTTCGCGATTAAGTGGTAATCGGACGCGCTGCTCAGAGATGATTGGACACACCCCGCCTGGAGTCCGGTCACTTCCAGTAAGCATCTAGAGATGATTTTTCATGACCAGACACGTCCGGTCACCCCTGACCTGACTCACCCAGCGTCCGGACAACACACGGACGAAACCCCCAAGCGCCATGTCATTAGCACCAGACGCGCTAGAGTAGCGTCCGATCGGTTTTATCAACCAGCGTCCTGTCAACTAAGATAGAGTCCAGAGAGCTCTCTGAGCGACCAGATGCATTCGGTCACACACGACCGAACTCACTCAGAGTCTGGTCAGTCTCTGCTGACTAACCGACGCCTAGGTTTAGCCATCAGAGGCGTCCGATCCCACAAGGACAGCGTCCGGTGCACTCTGTGAAACCCTGTCTTTTCTATACAGGGCGCCGGTGGCACCGTCGGACTGTCCGCACCACCGGTGAAGTTTCAAACCCTCGATCCCAAGTGCTGGACACAATGTATATCACCTTTGTGCATGTGTGTTAACATATTTTCACAAACATTTTCAAGGGTGTTAGCACTCCACTAGATTCTAAATGTATATGTAATGAGTTAGAGCATCTAGTGGCACTTTGATAACCGTATTTCGATACTAGTTTCACTTCTCTTAATAGTACGGCTATCGAACCTAAATGTGATCACACTCGCTAAGTGTCTTGATCACCGAAACGAAATGGCTCCTACCACTTATACCTTTGCCTTGAGCCATTTGTTTTTCTCTTTCTTCTTTTCAAGTCCAAGCACTTGATCATCACCATGGCATCACCATCATCATGTCATGATCTTCATTTGCTTCACCACTTGGAATGTGCTACCTATCTCATGAACACTTTGATAAACTAGGTTAACACTTAGGGTTTCATCAATTCATCAAAACAAAACTAGAGCTTTCAATAGCCTAGAACATGTCCACTTGATACCCTTGCTTTGAAACTCAAGGCAACTGCCAGAGAGCGCAGGCTTCAAGCGCCATGGCCACCCAATCAGCTTCCACGGTCGTCGCTAGCTCCCGTGCCTCTGAGCGCCCTCCTCCATGAAATCTCCGTCCAAACCGACCACACCATTGACTTCCTCACCCCCCGCCGTAGCTCGCACGCCTCTTCGCTGGCCTCAACAGCCCCACTGAGCTCCACGCGTGCTGCCGCCGAGCTCCGCGCTGTCGACATCTACACGTCGTCACTGAGCTCTGTGCGCGCTGCCACCGGCAATCCACGTGTTGCCGACGAGCTCTGTGTCGCCGAGATCCGCGCTGCCAATGAGCTCTGCACTGACAACCTCCGTTGCATCGGGCTTTGTGCCAGCGTCGAACTCTGCGTCGACGAGCCTTGATTCGCCCCAGTAGTAAGAAGATGTTGCGTTGAAAAGCGCATGTTGCAAACATATATTTCAAGTGTTTCATATGTATGTTGCAAGTATTTCATGTGGATGTTACAAAAGCAGATCAGGATATTGCACATGTTGTAATGGCTATAAACAAGTGTTGCAAACGTCTGTTGCCAATGTTTTAGCTGTTTCAGACGTATGTTGCACGTGTTTTATCTGGGCGTTGCATATATTTCACAGTGGTGTTTCATCCGGATGTTGCATATTGCACACATATGTTGCAAGTGTTTCATCTATATGTTGCGTATGTTTTGCAATGGCTGCACACTGTTTTTCTCGTGTTTCAAACGTAAGTTGAAAGTGTTTCAACAGTTTTAGACGTATGTTGCAAATATTTCTCTAGATGTTGCAAAAGTAGATCTGGTGTTGTACATGTTTACAGTGGGACCTATCTGCAGCAGCCGCCTGCTGCAGCTGCTGGGCTCGCCTGCATGTGTGTGGGTGTGGAGGGGGCGCGAGCGGCAGGCGTGGCAAACCATGCGGACGCAGATCGAGATGGAGTGGCGCGGGACACAGAGCGTCACGGGCGCCCGTGTGAAGCAGGCACAGGCGTGCGAGCGGGCACAACAGCATGCCTACGTGAAGCAGGCGTGGACATCCGGACGCTAGCTTTTTCGAATAAAAAATAATACATCTAGAAAAGCTAAAAATGTATTATAACTTGATTTGGAAGAAGAGTAGCTTATTAGTCCCGGATTGAATAGCCTTTGGACTTTTGGGGGTATACTCTTAGTCTCCATATGTTAGTACGCGAGCGGATGGAGAGTACGATCCAACTGCCGGTCGAGACGTCGTCGCCTGCTAGCTCCATCAGCCGGCGTAGGCGCGTACACACGTATATATATACCACGACTAGCTCTGTTCGTTTTACTGAAATTTAGCTTATGCTGATTTGTTGTGAAAGGAAAACATCGTTTATTCGCTAAAAAGTACGAAGTAGTTCATGCGAACAGAGTTGCATTGCTCATCGAAAGGTGAGTTTATACAAAGCGAAAACAACAAAGGAAATTGACAACTCGTCTGCCGATCAGGATGCCCATCGAGTCCGTGTTCAGATTGCCGAGGGTGCGATGTGTCGGATTGCCAACACGTTAAACTTAGCATGTGTATACTAAATCAAAAAAGAAATAGTACCATATATATATATATATATATTTGATAATTGCAAGCCGTGATTGACAGTAGCTCTAAATCCTTTTTGGATTCGGCCCTGGACTCATGGTGCTATAAATATGTGGGAGCTCATCCCAAACAAAGCACATATGTTTTTGTCATCGTCAAAACACACCCCAATTAAACATCGGAGGATCTTGGGAGCACAATCTTCACATCCAGATCTACACTGGTGACAACCAGAAGGGTGTTCCCCATCGGCAAGACCTATCTTCATCAACAGAGAGCAATTAGCTCTCGGATTGGTGAAGCACTCGGTTCTACTTCATCTACGTCAGCATCTACTACGATTACAAATCTACGGAGACGTCTATGTCGAGTTCAGACCCTGGTAAATTCTTAATCATCTAATTTTGCATAAGATTGATGTAATGATCATGTTTAGGCTAAAACAAATATCATGTTTATGTTAAGTTAGTTTCAATGGCACAAACGTGCACGCGGCTTCCGTCGTTTTTAGGGGGCACGTACATGCACGGCTAGCTTGTGCGTAATTTGGATTCAACGTACACCACGAGGGTGCTCACTTGATCAGATGCTATGGATTTGCACGTCTGGTAGTAGCCTACTTTGGGAAGTAGTAAGAACTTCGTAACAGTTTGAAACAATATATGGGCCCATAACACAGCTATGGATCGCTGTCAGCCTTCGAGAGGCCGGCGTAACAGCCCACCTGCAATCTCACAAACCGAGCAGCTACCAGCCCATCAAGTTTGGCCCAAAATGACATGGACAGGCCCGTGGGCCAGAAGCATGGGTGGTGGATTCGACAAGTGTTCGCAGCCCAGCCGGTGAGGGTTTCATCCTCACTGGACAGTGGACCCCAGTAGACGCCACGACAGCCGGACCCACTCCGCAGCCTCTCTGCTGCTGGTGGGCCCAACGTTACGGCGCGCAAGCCTCCGCCTCCGCCCTCCCTTCTCCGGCCACCCTCGCTTCTCCGTCCCTACTCCCTCGGCAACGCCCTTATCCCCCGCTGCCTGTGCCCGGTAGCCGGCACTAGGCCACCACCATTCCCCGCTCCGTACAAAACCGCCTGCCGCTGACAGGGCGGGTCCCGCCCCCGCACCTCCGCCTTCTCCCTCCCTCGCGATCGCGGCTGGCGCCGAATGGACGCCTCCTCATGCTGCCGCGTAAGCGCCGCCCCCGACTCCTTCCGTTCTAGGAGAACCTACTAGAGCGAGGCTTGACTTACTTGTACCTGCTGCTTCTCCTCCTCCTGCTCTCTCGCTCTCTCGCAGGTCTTCTCCACGCAGCGGCTCCGCTTCCCGCTCCGCAGGCTGGCGGCGCCGCCGTGGCCGCAGCCGTTCTGCACCGAGTCCAGCGGCGGCCTCGTCGCCCCGTCGACCTCCAAACGGAGGTCCAGGGGCCCCGTCATGGCCGCGAAGAAGGCTGCGGAGGGTCAGCCCCGCCGCTCTCACGTTGTTTTTCTTCTGCCATTGCTGTTTAGAACTTCATCTCTGGTGAAGGTTTGTTTGGCCAGGGTTTTGGATGAGGAATCGATGTCCGTTTCTATGGTATCGTGGTACTTTTGAAGTTTAATTGGAACGGAGTAGCCGAATTTAGGGTAAAGTTTTGACGTAGGTGCTTTGAGCGGTCTGTGCTTGCGGTAATTTGCTGAAGGGATTCTGTTTTTGTCTTTTGGTTGTGAAGCTTGGGATTGGTGAGCTTCTGTGAGATGAATTTGCCAATTTGATTGAGATAATCTGGAGTTGACATAGACAATTGGGCTAGGAATTTGGTCACATTGTGATCTATGTCATCCAGATGAGTAGGGCCTGTAACTTTAACCTCTATTTAGTCAGTTTACATTGAAAGATGTTATAACTGTGACAACTTTTGCAACTAACGTGGCTTTGTTTATTTCAAATTCTATTCATATTTGACGCATTTCTTCATAGCTAGCATTGTCTCGGTGAAGATAGATATTAGATAGTAAACTACTGTTATTTATTAGTTTAAGCAAGCACCTTCATCACTGGGCGTTTTTTCCATATGTCATTGCTTGCTTATCCCCATAAACTTGATCTGATTTGTTTCAAATAAAAAAAACAAAGCAGTTTGTTGATGATTGACAGTTTGAGCTCTGCTCTGGCAATCAGTCCTTCCATTGTCAGAAACAAAGTATTAGAGTTGAGTTTGGCTTGTTTGCTTTTGCTAGGTGCAAAACAAGAGGATGGAAAATATAAGCACACTGTGGATCTCCCGAAAACAACATTTGGGCTGAGAGCGAATTCTGTACAACGGGAGCCAGAGCTCCAAAAATTATGGGACGAGAATCAGGTTCTGAAAAGGGTATCTGAAAGGAACACTGGGGTGAGTCAATATCTTCAAGTACATACCTGAAATTTAATAATCTGTTAATCTGATTTAATTGCTTGTTCTGTTTGGATGATTGATTAGCCTGCATTTGTTCTCCACGATGGCCCTCCGTATGCTAATGGTGATCTTCACATGGGCCATGCGCTCAATAAAATCCTCAAAGATTTTATAAATCGCTACAAGGTATTAACTGCTGTTCATATGACTGTTGCTGTAGGTTAGTGTTTCAGAATCACAGCTTTGCTTATGCTTTTTTCTGTACGCAGCTGCTTCAGAATCATAAAGTGTCCTTTGTTCCTGGTTGGGATTGCCACGGCCTTCCAATAGAACTAAAAGGCAAGTTCATTTGTACAAAGATCTATATAAGTTCATCTAGTTATGCTCATTTATTAGATTTGGTGGAGTAACAGCTGCAAACTTTTGTGCATACATGAGACTGACCAAGTAATTGCTAATTATTTTCTGCAGTTTTGAAGTCAATGGATAAGGAAACTTTGAGTGCTCTTACGCCCATAAAATTAAGGCAAAAAGCTGCAAAATTTGCTAAAGCAACAGTCGATGCACAAATGAAATCTTTCAAGGTAGTCCTTTCATCCCTTAAATTGTTTTAATGGCAAGTTGATCTAACTTGTCAACAGATGCTATCTGTTTTGGTGATGTTTTATCGTGTGTTTGCAGTTTTCTAAACAGAAGCCAAATTCATGTTGTGGCTCTTGTTCTGTTGATCGATCCAAGCCTTTCATTTTTTTTAGCCTTTTGTATCGTGTAATTAAGCAATAAGTCTACTGTTTGCAGCGGTATGGTGTATGGGCCGATTGGGACAACCCTTATCTAACTCTGTCACCGGAATACGAAGCTGCTCAGGTTTTCTATCTGCTACCTGCTTTTACAGAATATGGCAATGATATTAATGTGTATTTGACATAAATGAGAACTTGAAGGTCTGACATTACTCGAGTTGTCTTTTCCGTATCTCTTATCTTCTGGACAACATTAGATTAATGCATTTAATTTTCTTTCTTTAAATCTATCTGTGTGGCCAGCAAATATTCATCGACAGTATGGTGTACTGTAACTGTAAATTTTATGTTCTGATGATGAGCATGTTCCATTGCAATTAGAACCTCTTACAGAACAAAAGTAATTACGTTTTCTTATCCATTTTGTTATGCTAGTTGGAAGTATTTGGTCAAATGGTTATGAAAGGATATATCTATAGAGGACGAAAGCCTGTCCATTGGAGTCCATCATCACGTACAGCTTTGGCAGAAGCTGAACTGGAGGTATGCATGGAATACACTATTGTAATTTGTCAAATACATAGGAAAAATGCTTAACTGTTCTGATTCTGTCATTGTAAGTATGCTTCCTGAGGGTGGATATTTCTGGTAATATTTGTTTAAACCAAGGAAACAGAACATTGAAGCTCTTCCGGTTAATAAGTTGCATAGCTCTGTTCCAATTTGTAGAAAAAGAGACATTTGATTAATATAGTGACACCGTGAAGTTGAAATTGAGTTTGTTTGGATAGTGGGAATTCGGATTCAAATCCTAATATTTGTAGAACAGATTCCCTCTTCCGATCACATCCTAAATCTGCATGTCTCTTGTTTGTGGATAAAATGGAAAGTAATTACCTAAGAATTCTTTTCTTGTTGTATATTTGATACTCTTGAAGAACATAATGACATGCACTGTGTTGGTAAATCTGTCCATAGTTTTTGCTTCCTCATATATGTCCCTTTTATCTTTCTCCAGTATTCCGAAAATCACATTTCCAGAAGCATATATGCCGCATTCAAGATTACCAATCCATCTAAATCTGGGATGCTAGACGAATTTCTTCCAAATGTATCTTTGGCCATATGGACCACCACTCCATGGACAATTCCGGCTAATGCTGGTGAGGTGATGCCTTGTTTGCTTTATTTTAAGGGAAACATCCAGTGAGAGACACCTTTTAAATAAGATGTCATGAGAGCTAACTTGTTGCTAGCTATGAAAATAGAGTATTCAGCGTGCATGTATTTGTATATGGAAAAACAATGAGATTTAACTATCAAAGGAGTAAATGACATAGCTCTTAACTGTTTAAGTTTTCCCCATGTGAATTTTGTTCTATTCAGTTCAACATAGCTCTTAACTGGGGAAGGGTGTGAAGGGCGGGCCTGGTGCAAGCGGTAGAGTCTTACCGCCTGTGACCGGAAGGTCCCGGGTTCGAGTCGTGGTCTCCTCACATTGTGCAGGCGAGGGTAAGGCTTGCCACTAACACCCTTCCCCAGACCCCGCACAGAGCGGGAGCTCTCTACACTGGGTACGCCCTTTTTTTCAGTTCGACAAACAATATCTCTATCTACAATTTTGTGTAGTAAACTAGTAAAATGCACAAAAGATGGATATATCATATGGAAACTAATTGCATGGGAACTTGTAAGTATGATTGATCTGCTTATCCTGCTATGGAAACAAACATGCTCGTTGTGCAACGTTGCAGTTAGATCTGCCTGTCTATGCTAACTTTTATCTGTTATATGCCTTTGATTAAATATTTAGGAAATATAATAACTTGTCTAAAATTGTCTCTACCTTCCTTTACCAGCTGTTGCTGTGAACCCGGAGCTTACTTATGCAGTAGCTGAGGTACAGTCTGTATTCGAAAGTGAGTCAACATCTGGTGGTAAACAAAGAAAAGTTGGAAATATATTGAGTTCTGAGAAAGGAAAATTGTTCGTTATTGTGGCTTCTGATCTTGTCACAAATCTTGAGTCCAAATGGGGTGTGAAGCTTGTAGTCCACAAATCATTTCCCGGATCTGCCTTGGAGCACTGCAGGTTTGTTTTTTGTGTTGGACCTCTCAATAATGGTTGCTCAGCTTTTTTTTTGAACCATCTATATGTGCTTATTTCATGCCATGCTTGGTGCCTTCAGGTATGCCCATCCTGTGAATGGCAATGAATGTTCTGTCGTTCTAGGAGGAGATTACATTACAACTGAATCGGGCACTGGCCTTGTTCATACTGCCCCTGGCCATGGCCAGGAAGACTACATAACAGGTTTGAAGTATGGGCTTCCTATTATTTCTCCCGTGGACGATGAAGGGAACTTCACAGCTGAAGCTGGACAGTTCAGTGGTTTGTCTGTCCTGGGGGCTGGCAATACTGCAGTTGTGAAGTATCTGGATGAACAGTATTCACTCATTTTAGAAGAGCCATACAGTTAGTAACTTGACAATAGTCTTCATGTTCTTTTGTTTCCACTTTTATCATAGAAGTTTGACTGATTAGTTTCACTTGGTTGTCAGAACACAAGTACCCCTATGACTGGAGATCTAAAGAACCAACTATATTCCGAGCAACTGAGCAGTGGTTTGCATCTGTGGATGGTTTCCGTAATGCTGCAATGGATGCAATCAGACAAGTAACTTGGGTTCCTTCTCAGGTATTTAAGTTTGGTTCTCTCTGCTTTTTTTAAGTTGGCAGTTCATGTTTGATGCCAGATCCTGAAATTATTTTCCTTATTTATGTCTTCTGGTCTTCAATTATGTCTTCTGAGTGTAAGTGATTGTTTGATCCCATTTACTGTGACCAAGTAATTGCATTTTTGCCACTATGTAATATTTTTGAGTTATTTTTCCTTTTTAAACCCTCTGCCAATCTGCAATGATGAAATACTACTGCTTGTTACTTCTATTGCTGCTATCTTGTGTTGTTTGATATAAGAAGACCATGTTTCATGACTTTGGTTTGATGTTCCCAGGCACAAAACAGGATTGTTGCCATGACCTCTAGCCGTTCTGATTGGTGTATTTCACGTCAGAGAACTTGGGGTGTTCCTATTCCAGTTTTTTACCATGTGGACTCACAGGAACCTCTTATAACTGAAGAAACTATTGAACACGTCAAGGGTATATCTGTCTATTTCTTGCATTTCTTTGCGATATTTCTGTTGTGGTTGGAACATCATCACTGCCAAAGCAGTTACACACACAAAAGTCATGTTTGCTGGTGTCTGGGGAGGGTACCAAGTCTTAGGCAGTAACCCTGTAAGAGCGCAAACCATTAACTGAATGATGTGTTATCTTTCAGTCTCAGATCCAGACATGTCTGATCTGCCTTCCATCCATTATGGGATGACTGTTATGAGATTTGTAGTTCTCTACATTATTATAGAACAACCCAATGTTTGGCAGGCTTATATTTCAAGTGCTGGATATAGTTTGGTTCTTTTGGGGAAAGAATTATGTGTTATTTTCTTGTGCTCGAATAAATATATGTTGCATTTTGTGCAGCTATTGTGTTGAAGAAAGGTAGCGATGCATGGTGGTATATGACAACTGAGGAACTTCTTCCAGATAGATATCGGGACAAAGCATCTGAATATCGCAAGGGAACTGATACAATGGATGTTTGGTTTGACTCTGGTACATTGTTTTCATTATTCCTCTACTGAAATGTATAGCTCGGTGATATGTTTTTCCAATGGATAGAATTAATTTTGTCGGGGAATTATGATGATACGGTAATGCTGTAGAAGTATTTTTAGTGGTCATTTAGTACTATAGTTTTCATATGTCCAGTTTTGGTTGTGATAACATATTGAATATTGTTGGTCAAATTATGTAAACTTTGGTTTCATATAAATTTAGAAACATGAAATAGAAAAGATTGGAGGGAATTTTTTTCTTCGACTTGAATCTATCTTTTTTACTATATCCTGAAAATTGAGCTGAAGTGTCAAAGCGATGTTGCTATCTTGTGCATTGATGGTTGATGCTGCTTTTGTACTTTTTACTGCATCAGTTTCTCTGAGTTCTACAATCATCTCTCATCAGAAATTGATTTATATATATATCTATATCTTTCTTTGATTCAGGCTCTTCATGGGCAGCTGTTTTAGCAAAAAGGGACGGTCTTAGTTTTCCTGCGGATATTTATCTTGAAGGTTCAGATCAACATCGTGGATGGTTCCAGAGCTCATTGTTGACTAGCATTGCTACTACAGGTATTTGTGTTCTTTTTTTAGTTTTCGAAGTTATTTTCTTGTCATTGTTTTCTGATTCCTCCATGGTTATATCTTTTCCTACAAACAATTTCCATGCCTTTTCAATTTCATGTTCTTGTTTTTTTATTTAAACATTTTCTATGCAGAAGTGTGGAAAGCCTGCCACCCATATTGTTTGCTTTTCTATGATATGTTTGTAGTGTGAAATAATAATAACCTTTTTCTCTAACTCTTTTTTTCCATCTAAAGTTCCATTTGTCTAAATTATTCTTCAATTTTTCCATGAGAAAACAGGGAAGGCTCCCTACTCCAGTGTTATTACACATGGATTTGTACTGGATGAAAAGGGTTTCAAAATGAGTAAATCAGATGGCAATGTAATGGACCCAGAGAAAATCATTGTTGGTGGCAAAAACCAATCGGTATGTTCCTGAAAGAACTTTTTTGCTTTTACTTTCGCAGAATGAAATGTTCATTGGTCATTTGCAGGAAGAACCTGGCTAAATGTTCATTGGTCATGTGCAGGAAGAACCTGGCTATGGAGCAGATGTTCTCCGTCTATGGGTTTCTAGTGTTGATTACTCTACCGATGTGTTGATTGGTCCACAAATCTTGCGCCAGATGTCTGACATGTATAGAAAACTACGAGGCACGATGCGATTTCTGCTGTCGAATCTCCATGATTGGAAGGTATGTCCATGTGGTCAAACACATCTCTTCATTTTGTTTTCTGATGAGTGATAATGATGTGCCAAAAGCATGAACGGGATGAGTGAGCTAGATCTATAATGTCGTTTTAGGGGGTGGAGTGGTTTTCACTAATGAAGTCATTTTGGGCGCATGGAGAGAGTTTTGGACGGGATTACCCCCACTGTTTCGTATCCTGGCCCGTCACGACGTCGCCCAGTCCCGAGGATACATTTAATTGCGCCTCCTCGCTTGCCGTCGTCCCTTGCTTCGCTCGCGCCGCGCATCAGAGAGAGAGTCCGTCGCTTGTCTCTATGGAGAGAGAGAGAGAGAGCTCGCGCTGCACATGGAGGCCACGAAGCGACGCATGGAGGCCATCGCGCGGCAAGCCGCGGCGGAGGACGTCATGGCGGTCCGTCGATCTGCGCCGCAGGACGTCATGCCGCCGGAGTCTGTCGAGCTGCGCCGCAGGACGTCGCTGGCCGCGGCGGAGGAGTCAGAGGATGACGCGGTCGGAGATGCAGGAGCCTCCAAGGAGGACGAGGAGGTGGGCTCTCGGAGCCGGAGGATGAGTCGTCCATGGCCATGGCTCCTCGGCAAGGGAACAGTAGCAATGCGGGGTGCGCACATGAAAAAGAAAGGAGATGCAAAGATAGCGTACTATTTGTTCAATCAAGATTAAATGTCTCATGCATACATCCATATTTGCCTAAATACCAAAGTCTAATTGTGCAACTACTAATCCGAGGTCTAGTTGTTCCTCCATGAACCAAGCTTCTCCAAAGCGTCAGCTACCAACGAGAGAATAATATTGAAATTTTGAAAGGTCTGTTCATGAAATTAAATTCAGTTATAATGATATACTACTGCTCATGAAATTAGACTGAGTTGAAACTAGAAAAGAAAATGTACTTGTAGAGAGTGTACCTGTTGAACGCTCAGAATAAGGCATCAACGCTTTTTGCATCTTTCTTAATTTCAATAGCTTGGATAGCACGAGATATGCCCAGATCTACGATATCAAAATTTGGTGAATTTGATGGTTGAAAAATGACCCTAATGTCGAAACCATCTTCTTTACCAGCTTCAAGGAACTGTGGATCATCATGTTCTACTCTAATATGAGAAGGTGCATTATCTTGCAGAATGTAGATAGGCTTGTCGACATCTTCTAGTGGCCATCTAGCTCGAATAGCAGGAAGAACACTAGAAATCATGAATTCTCTAATTACATCTCTTGTAATTGTTGCTATCGGCTTCGCTTCAATTGTCCCAGCTGGCCGGTTAACACTACACCTCTTAGCATGCTCAAAAGTAACTAGAGGAAAGCATCCTATCTTTCCGTTAAAATACACACTCCCCCCTCATTGAATCTTGGTCGAGCAGTCACACATAAAAACATTATTTTAGGAATCTTGCTCTTGGAAGAACCTAAGGTCAATATTCTAGTAAGAACATAAGAACACCATTCCTCATCTTCTGGTGGCAAGTTCAAATCCAAAGCAGCAAACGCTTCATTGTCATCTAGTAGAGTGGCATAAGAACATGTACACTTAGACTTTAAATAATGGATGCATGCATCAAAAAAACAGAGACGAAGATACAAAGAAACAGGACAAGTACTTACCATTGGGATCCAATCCAGCAAAGAACTCGTCCATGTGTTGGGACAGTTGCACGACAAATGAACAAGAGGAGCTGGCTTAGTGTTGTGTTGCATACTAGTACTGCTTGCGCTGTGGCGTTTAAATAGGCAAGTGACCCAAACGAACTGGTGCAAAAATCACGTGCCAGCGAACGGAGCGATCCGCGCCAAGGGAAAAAATCGCGCCAACAGTCCCATGCAGCGGCCAACTCGAGCGCCAAGGAAAGTAATCCGCGCGGCAAGGGGAAAAAAACGCGCCCACAGTGCCATGCAGCGAGCCTCAACGAATCAGGCAAGCGCCAACGAAAAAAATCGCGCGCAAAATTGACACATTACACAAAAAATATGACGACGCGAGGGATCAAACACTGCCCTCGTGGCTCATGCCTCAACGAGCTAACCAACCAAGCTGCAAACGTTTGTTGTATTGGGGATTCCTGCTACCCTATTTAATAAGGGTAGACAGGGAAAAGTACACCCTAATTAATCACTCCTTGGTATGCTAAATCCTATCCAAAACGACTTGATTTTTGAGTATGGAGGGAGTATATTGCTTGTATCAGGAAATTATCTCAGTAGATGTTTCCTTAACTGATGATATTCTAAAATGTCCTTTGGATTAGTATTTCATAACTGTTACTTTTGTCTTTTCTTTTGTTTCTTTTACCTCCATTTCAATGAACATCTCTTTTCCTATAAAGTCATCTTTGTTTCTTTATGTTTCTTTTTATAGCCGGATAATTCTGTGCTCTACAATGACCTGCCAAAAATTGACAAGTATGCACTTTTCCAACTGGAGACTGTCATGGCTTCCATGAAGGATAGTTATGAAAGTTACCAATTCTATAAAGTATATCAGGTATGTCTACATTTTGTTTTTCTGTGCCAATTTCGCATATTTGACTTATTCTTCCTTCTCCTTTTCCTTTCTTTGAACTTTACATTGTAACGAGTATATGTACATGTGCATTCTCATGCATGCAGTCTGTGTTTGGGATAGGGTTTCATTGGGTTTATTTGAGACGGGCTTCTGGTAAACAGAAAGTATGCTTGTTGATCACATAGTTTTTGCTCGAAAGTGGCAATATGTTGTTCAATAAACTCCCTGGCCTTTTGAATCTGTGGGTTTCTGTAGCTTTCTTAATTTTCTAGCATGTTCTCAAATCATAATTCATAAGCACATGACATGATTGTACTATGTTGTGTGTTTGATGGTACTGACTTAATATACTCCTAATTCCTCTGTTACTTGCTCAGGATGCTCTAATTTACATATGTTTTATGCTTTTACATTACTGACTTCTTATCCTCCATGTCTCAGATGCTTCAAAGATTTGCTACTGTTGGTTTGTCCAATTTCTATTTGGATGTTGCAAAGGATCGGCTTTATGTTGGGTATGGCTTTTTCTCTCATACGGAGTATTCCTGATTTTATTCTATTAGATCAAAATCTTAGCTATTGTCGTTTTATAATATGGATTCAGAATTTTGATGATGCAATTTCTGTCCTATCAGAGGCCGAGTTAGCTTCACAAGGAAAAGCTGTCAGACTGTCCTCATGGCACATCTGCTCTACCTTGTTAGGGCCATTTCCCCGATTATGCCTCACCTAGCTGAGGATGTCTGGCAGAACCTACCTTTTCAATACACCTTGCAGGATGGATCCCTTGCAAACTTTGTTTTTGACCTGAAATGGCCAGAAAAGAATGAAGAATGGCTCTCAGCCCCGAAGGATGATGTTGATTTCCTGGGTGTTATCCTGGAGGTACTCAAGTTTTTCATCAAGTTTTTGCCCTCAAAAAATGGAAAGAAAGAAGTGGTTATATTGTCTTTCACAAATATGGTTCATTCTATATATAAGGCTTCATATTCTATATAGCATTAGAAATCTGTACTTCCTAGAGGTTAAACAAACAGGCAAAACTAGTCATGTCAGAAATCTGCATTCAACTTTGAACATTTAAATTAGGCAAAGAAAAAAAATTTGACTTGACCATAATAAACCTCTTGTGATGTGAAATGTCAGCATTTCTACTAAATTTGCTGATCATACACTAGATAGGTGTGTTGTCCAATCTTGAATTCATGATAACTCCTTTTATTGGTATATTTCAGTTGTGCACTTGGTTTTTATCTTCAAAATTGATTCTTTATTATGTAAATTGTAAAATTATGTTGGTATATGCAGCTGAGGTCAGAGATTAACAAAATTTTGGAGAATGCTCGCACTGGAAAGTTGATTGGTTCAAGCTTAGATGCGAAGGTTTATCTCCATACCGAAAGTTCAGATACAGTATTAAAGCTGAAGGAGCTATCTTCTGCATCTAATGACGCAGACGCTCTGCATCGCCTCTTCATTACATCTCAGGTCAGACATGCTTTTCAAAACGACCATCTTCCACTATCTACACATAATATGCTTAACGTTTCCTTCATTTTCTGCAGGTGGATGTTCTTCCAATCCTAAATGAAGAAATTACATCATCTGTACCATACACAGGAAAGTTCAGTAACCCACGCACTGGAGACATATGGATTGGTGTGACTCGTGCGGATGGTGCAAAGTGTGAGAGGTGTTGGAATTACACCCAAGACGTTGGATCTTTCCATGACCATCCTACTCTTTGCGGTCGGTGTTATGGTGTCATTGATTTGCAGCCACAACCTGCTGCCGCATCTGTCAGTTGAAAGGAGTGATGTCAACATACCCTATTGAACCGTCTCTTTTCTGAGGATCATTTGGTGGAATTAATTCTTTTGGAGAGAGCTTAAACGCTACCATGCTTGGGGGCAAAAGACGTATAGGTGTGGCAAATAGCCTGGAACTCCAGAGTTTTGCATGCAGCAAGTTGTACTTTAGATTGTCGAACTAATACATAGGTCATACTGCGGTCAGCTTGGGAAACCGCTTTTCCATACTACTTGGGGAGTTGGAACAATTTTGTACACAAAACTCCTGGACTGTAAATCAATTTTGGAAAACCGTATCAGGGGGCGAATCCATGTACTAATGTAGTAACAACAATGCTACTCATGCAAATCCCAAGATATGATGACAAAACCTACATGGTGATGCTCTGCTTTCCATTCTGTGTTGAAAAAACAGCTCGAATCATTTGCTTATGCTCACCTGTTTTCTTTCATGATCGTCATGAATCAAAGCATTTGCTTATCCCATTAATTCTGGCAGAGCTGGCAATGTACTTGTGAAGGAAATTTCTTGCTGATTATTTAAGGGCTTGTTTGAAACGCGGGAATTTGACAAGACTAAGAAGTTTAAACTATCAGCAAGTCATGTTCGTTTCGCTGAAAAGACAAGCTAAAAAGTATTGTTCACTGATTAATCAGAGAAAAACACCGTTTTTTCGCTCAAAAAGTATGGCTCAAGCGAACCAGGCAACGTGGTCCTTTAGTCTGTACGCGATTGCCATGCGGACACGGACTTGTCCGTGGATACACTAGTCCACACGAAGATGTTTTTTTTTTACTAATAATAATATAAACTTGTAATTTTGATCGGAGAAATTAGAAAATTTTGGTTGGACTATTTGATAAAAGAAAACATTATCCCCATCAATTCTGGCAGAGCTGGCAATGTACTTTGTGAAGGGGAATTCTTGCTGATTGTTTAAGGACGTGTTTGGAGCACAGAAATTTCACAAGACTAGAAGTTTACCTCATCCAAGATCAACTTATATATGCCATGTTGCCCTTTTACACCAAGTAAGAGTAAACGGTAATGCTCCAATTAAGACGTCCAGAACGGACGGACGCTTCACTCCGCTCGCTCCCGCACCCAGTCCCTCGCTTCCTCCTCTCTGGCCGGCGGCGGCGCGCTCCCCCACCCCGGCATCCTCCTCTCCCACCTTGGTGACGCCCCTCCCCCCACCCCGGCGCCCTCACCCACCAGGAGCGCCCAACGCCTGGGGATTTGGTGTCCCTCTTCCCCCACCCCGACGAGATCCATAAAGCACGAGCGAGATCCATGGAGGTGATGCGGCGATGTTGCAGGGGAGTGGGCTGCTCTGCCCCACCCCGGCGCGGCGTCATCTCTCATCCTGGCGACCGAGCCCCCCCCACCCACCCCCCGACGGTCAGAATTGATCGGCCAGCCTTTCCCTCCCCTATGTTGCATATGTATGTTTTAAATGTTTTAGGCGTTTCAGATGCATGCTGTATTTGTTTCATATGGATGTTGCAAAAGTAGATCGGGAGATGTTGCATATGTTGCAATTATTTCAGAGGTATGTTACAAGCGTATGTTTCGAGTGTTTCAGATGTTTTAGATGAATGTTTCATCTGTGTTTTCCGGACGCATGTTGCAAGTGTATTTATATGGATGTTGCGTATGTTTCACACATACGCTGCATGTGTGTTTATCTGGATGTTTGAGTATGGTTGCAATGGTTTTCAAGTGTTTCAGAAGCATGTTTCAAGTGTGTCAACCGCCTTTAGACATGTTGCAACTGTTGTATTTGGATGTTTCAAAAGTAGATCGGGGTTGCATCTCTCCTCCCCACCTTCTGCTACATCGTCTCTCCCGACGCCGGCAGGAAATCCATATGACGCCGCGGCCGGGTCCTTCCGAATCGGAGGCGCCGCGTGGCCTTCCCCTCTTGTCGCCCGGGCAGCGCAGGGCCCGCGTGGAGTGCGAAACGGAGTGTAGTTCATCGTCCGGGCGCTAGCACTTCCGAAGAGTAAAACACTATGACTCTTTAGTTTGTACGTGATTGCCATGCGGACATGGACTTGTCCATGTATACACTAGGCCGTATGAAGATGTTTTTGACTAATAAACTTGTAATTTTGATTGGAGAAATTAGAAAGTTTTGGTTGGACTGTTTTATTGTTACCATGAAAGGTGTTTGGGTCCTTGATAAAAGAAAACCTTATCCAAAACGAAACGGCTAAGAAATCCCGTCTTCCCCTGCAAACTAACTGGCCAAGCGAGCGAAAGGGGTAGCTAAACAGAGAGCCTACGACCGACGCGGCCAAACCGAGATAAGAGCAAGATAATGTCGTCGACGGCATTTAGCCACCTGTTCCCCTCCGCCGCCGTCGCCGCTGTATCCCTCCTCCCTGGCCGCGTCTCCCTGCAGCTCTTCTGCACCAGCGGTGAAGTTGCCCCTGGATGGAGGAGAAGAAGCCCCCGCATGGCCGTAGTGCGCGCGGCCACCGCGGACGCGGCGGCGCCCGCCTACACCTCCGACTCCCTCATCCTCTACTTCAAGGCGGAGGGCACCATGGAGGAGAGGGCCATTCCCAAGATCACTGAATCTCTTGAGGTCCGGCTTCGCTCTTTTTTCGTCCTATTTTACTGCTAATTACCATTTTCTTTTCTTGCAAATTAGTTTGCAGAACTTAAATACTAAATCATAAATGAAGAAATATATCTTCTTTATTGAAGGGTATGGAAGGAGTCAAGGACCTAGAGGTGCTCATTGAAGAAGGCATAGCGAGTGTTGTGGTACGTCAGGTTTTCCTGCTGCCTGCCACTCGTTCGATTAGTGCTCCCACTAGGCACTAGTTAGCGCGCTTCATCTTTGTGCATTGGTTTTCCGTTGCACGTTGCGGCAGTTCAGCTCAAACTGTCCCTGCAACCATGTCGAGATACAGTTTGATCTTTTCTCCTCACTTCGTGAGAAAGAGTTTAATCCGTAGTTAGAGGTGGAGCACAGTTTTCCACAGACAATCACCTGTAAAGAAGAAGCTTCTATTGAAGCCTCCAAGGTTAAGTGAAAAGAGACAATAAATAGACACTAGAGTTTTAACATTGCCAGCTGTTCAAAGCCTATTTTTAGGTTTAAATATTCTAAGCAAGATCTCTGAACCAGATTTCAAGTCATGTTCTGCATATAGAACCTTGTTCAAGTATAAAAAACTAAATCACTTCAATCTTCTTGCAAATGAAGTAATTGAACAACTTTATTTATTCAACATAGTCATTTTGCAAGACGCACACAACTTTATATGTATTCGAATTTCTCTGGCATTCATTTGTTATTTTGCTCGAAAATTGGATTTGTTTGGTTGGATGGCCATATACTTTATTGATTTGATGAGGATGGGAAACAACAAGACAAAGATTTTATCCATGCAAGACATTTGACTATTGTTTGAGCATATCGTCAAGATACAACAGCCATAGATGCAAAAATCAAATATAATTAAAATGGACCCTACCTTTTGACTGCTGGCTGGAACTGTAGCAGCAAAACCTGTAGACATTGAAGAAATAGTAATCACTGAATAAAACTTGGCTGGAACTTCTTAAGTGACATGATTTCTTTGCTATTTTATTTCATATGGAGTTCTCAGACTGTTGTGTTTCATTCCTATGTGAAGAATATATATGAGCTCTGAATTAGAAAGGGCATGGAACCCGCAATTTGTAGGCACCACCTAGATCATGGGTAAACTAACAGCAAGTAAGTTGATGTACCGCTAACTGCTTCAGTGTTTCAATGAAATGAATTATGAATATTCTCTAAAAACAGTAGATGGCGTTCTCCCCTGTAATATCTCCAGTCAATTCTGTCACATTTACAATGATTGTCTGATGTGGTTGACGTACATTCTTGTTATCGGGTCTTTTTCAGTTAACAAAGGAGACGACCGTGCAAGCTACTGGAGTAGCCTCGAACCTAGTGGAAGCTATCCAGGGAGCTGGGTTCAAACTGCAAACACTAAGCTTGAGCTTCGACGATTTCGACGACATAACAGCAGCAGGAGGCAATGTCCAACCCAGCGAGTGAGCTAATTTGTGCTGCCGTGCGGAGTGCCAAATGCATATAATTCTGTCGGGTACTTTTACATTTTGTTTACCCCGTTGCTCCTTGCCTTTAATTTCCCGAGCACGCCCTGTAACTTTTTACAAATGGTGAAGAAATCAATGATTCTTTTCTAAAAACAACTTTTGATTATTTGATTCACCGGTGTTGTGTAAGTTTATCTTTGGAAAGGTTAATCTTTTAGGTCGAAGTAGTTTAGCTTGTTTTTTTTTAGGGTTCGAAGAAGTTTAGCTAGCCTAGCCATTTTGGTTGATCCGTGAAGTTAGTCGTGGTGTTCTTTTGCCAGCGCTTCCAATCGTTGGGAATTCTGGGCCGAAACTGCCTGATATCCTATCCTTGTTTGATTTGGCTCAACATGCAATTGCCTGACGTTTGTTTATGGATCTTGACCTGCTTAAGTGGCCCATTGGCATGCTTCGCCCATATAATACTTGTGTTGAGTTGTTCTTGTCTGACGGCTGACGCGGCCAAAATTAATCTAGAGAAAGAAGCAGAACGAAGAACCCGGAATCTCTGTCTGTGAAGGTTGTTGGGCCTTGGTGGCACAGGCCAGATTTTGTTTAGAATTAGTCCTGTTCATGGGCTGACACTGTCTTGGTTATCTATATCTGTAATATCTAATCTATATCTATATTTTTCTAATATTAAAGAGTCAAAATTTCGGTCTTAAATTTTGTCTGGCATCCACCGCATTCTTACACCATCCGCTCTAATCCTCAAGTTCATACCGTTCTGCACTCGTGATATAACCTAAAGCCCCTGCTTCGATGTGATGAATTCCCTTACGAAATTCAATAGGAAAAATCGAATAAATACAGTAAGCCAATAAATTAAATACAAATACGAACCATGCAATTTTCTGAACCATCTAGATCAAGGCACAAGAGGAGTAGAGAACCAAATCAAGATCATCGCGAGCTAGATCGATACCAACTAGAAATTACATACTACAAATTGATTTTAGAGCACGAACAGTAACTGTTATCCATGAACAGTAACTTTTATCCATGAACAGTAAATTCCGGCTGGTTTTCCAGTCAGCCGAACGGCGCCGTAGGAAAAAAAAATTGAGCACAAACGCCCACGGCCTCAGCCGACGTCGCCTGCAACAGTCACCGCGAGGGCGCACCAGTCCTGCGACGTTGCCAGTCTCCTCACGACCTGGTTGCTGCGTCCCTAGGCCCGCTGCTCCCGCAAGCACAGATGTTTTGTGTCGCTGCATCATCAGCATGAGCGAGCTCCGCCGCGCGCTGCCCTGCCCATGCTGGACCTGAGGAGCGGCCATGCTCGCCGGTCACAGCCATGAGGCCTTCCGTCGGCACAGCGGGAACCGCGCAAGCCCGTAAAGCACAAAGAAAGCAAGAATTCGCGGTAGGTTTTAATTTCTCACGCAGAAATTAGTTCAATTTTACAAAAAAAAAATGCAGAAACATAGAATTTTTTCCGTGTTCCAAACAAACCCTAATAATACATTCAGTTATCACAATCACTGTATATCTTGTGAGCAAATCCCAACGTGCCAAGAGGAGGTGGCCCCACCTGCAGAGTCACATCAAGCGTTTGCGAGGTGGGGCCATTCCTAACCAGTTAGCCACGGGATATTACGAGGCACCCACATTCCCCCGCACCGCGTCGTCTTCTTCCTTCCGCGTGGAGCGGAGTCGAATTGAAAACGGAAGTTACCGACCGCGCAGGTCGGAAACGTCAATTCCAATTCACCCGACACTGTAGACACACCGGCTCTGTTCCACGCGAGAATCCGAGGAGCGCTGCTAAGCTAAGCGCTCCTGCCCTTCGGATCCGGAAGTTGGAGGAGGGCTTGCAAGGTCTCCCCTGCTGGCCGGCAGCGGGGGCGGCGGCGATGGCGCACGAGCGGGGCGCCGCAGCATCCACCCACGCCGCAGCTCCAACCTCCGAGGAAGACGCGCTGTGAGTCTGCTACCTGTGAACCCTAAGGTCTTAGTAGGCATGCCACCGGACGCTGCGACTGTGCATTTAGTGACCTTTGATCTGAAGCCCGCGGCAAATGGCAGCGCAATTTTGGTCCAGGTCGTTGACGATTAGGATTTTCGTGATGTTTGGTTTTTGTGCGGGTCGGGATCGGAAGTTTGGTGCCTCGCTGGGGCTTTGGCGTGTTGATGCCGCATGGTCCTGAGATTTGAGCTGCGGGATTCCTTACGAGTGTGGTGAATGCGAGAACAGAGTTGACATGGGATCAGAGCGGTCTGCTTGTGAGATTTGCGGTTATTACTAGGATGAGTGGTGGCTGCTTGTGTTATCTGTACTACAGTATTTGGGATGTTCGGCTGAGTTCTGTCAGGTTAACTTCGTAATGTGAAAGAAGGCAGGGGATTAATGTTCTAGCTGCAAGCATGCTGCGATTTGGTTGTTTGGTGTTTCATTTTTGAAAATCTTGTAGGATTATGGACCGTTTTATTCAATTCATACCCATAACCTCTAGTTTGACTGAAGCATAGTTCCTGAAAGGGGTGAAGGCATCGACCCTGACTTGGGAATGTCGTCCCGGCCCTGTTACACAGGGTCATTTTCGACCGTGCCATGTAAAAACCTCTCACAAGTAGCGTACCACGTTCCTTGAACCAGGAACTTTGTGACTATAGACTGAAGTTCTATACTAACACATTTATTTGCTAAATTTGCGTTAAAGCAGATGGGCAAGTTAATTTTGAAGCATGTGAAATTCTTCTGTTATCTAGGTTTATTGATTTACTACATGAAGCACCCCTGTCGGGTCACCGGGAACCTAGAAGCATAGTCGGTGGGACCTTGTACTGTATCTTATTGGTAAGTGGAAGTTTCTTACCCATGCTATATCGTGCCTAACAGAAGATCATCTCAGATAAATAATTCTGTTTCGTGAGTTATACAGAAGAACCAAAACACTATGCAATTTGTCATCTCCATGTGGCTGTTGTTGGATATTGACAAGACATTGCTTTACTCCTATATTCATTTTATATGATAGCTGCATTTTATTTATCTTTCTATAGGTAGGTTTTGCTGCTGTTGCCATTTCAGCTCCATGGATATTTCTCTTCGCGCCAGATATGATCTCTCCATTGCTATGCAGCTCCAATGCTATCCTTCTCGTTCTTACAGGTTTTCTTTTTCTGTACCTGCTTCCTTTGGGTATTCTATCAACTATTTATTTGTTTCACATTATGTTTCTGGCTGTGAAGAATGGTTCACATGAAATTCAATGCAGGAATTTTTCAACAATATTGGGTTCACCAGGTCAGGAAAGTAAGATTGCAGGTATTACCACTCAAAAGGGTGTTTGATTTTGTTTTGTTTCAATCATATCTCATGCAATGGAGTCAATGCATTAGTTGTAATAATTGATTTTATCAGATTTAGTATATGCATTTTGGTGAAGAATATATTTTCAAATTAATTAATGTGTTCTACTTTTACATGCAGGGTTATTACGATTTTAGCCAGAAACTGAAGTGTATTGCTCGACTTCCATTTGCTACTATTGCTTGTGGTGAGAATCACCAACAAATCTATGTGACGCTCTAGTGCTAGCATTTATCATTATTTTCTTTTGCTTATTACAAACAGCAGTCACTTTGTGAACAGCCACTTCCTTTTTGTTGATAAGGTATTAGGATGATCTTCTTCAGTATTCATTTTTCACTTTATTGCTTTTATCCCTGGAGAACATAATATGAATTATGTGTATATGGTGTGTTTCTATGTTTTATCTAGCTGTCGCTCAATAAAGAACATGTTAGGATAACAAATTTATTCTAGAACAGACAATGTATTCATTTCTGTTTTTGATTTTCACTCTTGTTACCTGGCAATCAAAATGGCCACTGGTAAGTGGTAATGGTCTCTATTTTTTTTGCAGGGACTGCTTTGATGCTCTTAATCATGGTCTGGCAACCTCTTTTACAAATACTATCAGTTTCACTGCTTCTAAGGTGCATCTTGCTATCTTAAATATCTTTAGTAAATTTTTTAATTTGTCTATGCATTGCTCTATAAATAGGAGTGGACATATTCGTCAGGGAAGGAAATAGAGAATGCATTTTGATTTCTTAAGATAATGTTCTAGTACCTCTATTTTTATTGTTTGTATTGTGAAGTTTCAGTTAATTTCGACGATGCTCTTTGTAAGCTTATATGCTTGTGACTGTTCACATAAGCCATATTTAGACCTGTGATGTGTATGCAACATAAACCTTACAAGGAAACTGGAGGCAAAGTGCTTATGGCTTGGGATCTTCATCTAGGCAGATAATGGGTTCCCATTTTGCTTATCTCCTATAATCTGTCCCTGCTCTACTTTTTAGTCGGTAGGTTGGATTGTTGGATAAACTCAACAACAGAACCTTCTGATGATAGTATGTTTACATTAGCTTGCACGCAACACATGGGAATCTGTGTATGTTTAGAACATTGCAGTTAAAACCTTATTTTCATATAATGCAGGATTGCCATCGTAGTTGAAGTCACGTGTGCTGGATGTTTTATGGGCTTATACATATGTGAGTTGAGTTCTTAATTATCTTTATATTCAAGAATACACGGGGGCTTAATTTTTCAGTTGCATGTACTGTTATATATCTGATTTGTGTCTGTTGCCCTTAAAATGCACGCTTTGAATCCCAGAAGATTTTGTAACATCTGTGGCATGTGTCTGCTTGTTTCCTTTTGCAGGGCACATCCACAAATACAACTCATTGGATGGGCAGCCTGATATTTTGCGGTCATTATATTCTGCACTCCAGCCATCTAGTACTTTGGAAGATCGAAGGTACGATTGCATTAGACAGAAGATATGCTGAGTTTTTCATGCTATCCGACAAGTTTCTATATTTGAACATTTGAGAAATGCCAAACTTACTCTTGTCTCAGCACACCCAAGGAATGCTTTATTTGTGCACTTTGTGGCTTATTTTCTAACGTTGGAAAATGCTAGTATTGAACCTGCATAGCCATATATCCATTAGAATTATTTGGAAATGGTTTTCAACTCATGTCTAAAAGATATGACTCCAAAGTATCACAGCCATAAACATGTATTGTTGAATAGTTCTCTTTCTCTTAACATACTGCCACCGCCACGGAGATTGGCTAGCTGATGTATTTTCTCTCTCTCTAGATATCATGATGCCCGTCTTTCTGATCAGCAGATGGCGTTACTTCAGTACCAAAGGGAGAATATTCATTATCTGAGTGAGGAGGTAAATGGAAGTTTCATGCAGAATAGTTGATAGGAGCCCCACCAAATTTCTATTTCACTTATTTCTGTAAGAATAACTTTACAAAAGTATTTGTACTACATGCATTTAAATTTGATTTCTTACATTGCAAAAACATTATTTAAGCATGCAAATTAACTAGTAGTCGAGGCATGACAAGTACATAATTAAGTCTTAGGATTTTATGGATAGGACAGGCATGATGTGATGATGAAGGCTGTGATAGTCAAATATACTAATAAACTTAAGGTCACATTCGTTATGTACAGCATCTATATAATACATAAGAGTGCAGCTTTCGTAATATTTCTTTTCTAGAGGAAGGGGATAAGCCCGGTTTTGTATATTAAACCACAATAAACTATACAGGGAGAGGTTAATAGACAGAAATTAATGAAGGGTTTGTATTGAAGCTAACAGGGAAGGTCTTGCAGATTCTTTTACTCTATGAGCTTGTAGGACAGTGATATTGATAAAACTGTTTTTTCAGGACGTGTAGCTTGGCTGTTTGTTCTAAAAAGATTAGGCCCTGTTCGTTTCGCTGAAATTTGGCTTATGCTGATTTGTTGTGAGAGGAAGACACTGTTCGTTGGCTGAAAAGTACTGCTAATGAAAATCTTCGTGAAGAGATTTTAAGTATTGCTTTGCCTTCTCCATCATGCTGAATCCTTTTGTTGATTAACAATTTGTTTCTTTTCTTGCAAGGTCCTCCGCTTGCAAGAATGCTTAAGCAAATACCAGAGAACTGCTGGAACCACTCCTCAGGTTCTGTCTCTGTGCATTGCACAATGATGTTGCGTGCTGTATCTCATTGACTAGTAGTCTGATGGTTCCAGATTTAGACAGAACTCCCTAACTGTTTCAGATGGTGGCTTTTCTTTTAATCTTCAGGTTGATCTTGCCCATCTTTTAGCAACTCGTGATCAAGAACTTCGAGCACTCACTGCTGAGGTAACTATGTTTATTGAATTATTATTACTATATTATACATTCGTCAGAGAGTATAACTTACATGGATAGTTGGATACCTTGCGTATCTAGTGGTTTGGGATGTAATGCTATATTACTATCATAAGCCAGGCTGCCATCATATGTAAATTAGTAAGGGAGCTCCTCTAGAAGAGTTATCTCTGCCTACTTTGTACTTCTTGCAGTAACTACTTACAGTAGTTTTAGCTACTAAGTGATCTGCTTCTTGCAGATGTAACATATGTGCCTGTTGGCGTGCTTGGGTTAGTTCTTTATAGTGTGAAAAGTTGAACCGAGCTTGCATTAGATGACTAGACGAGCGAGGATGTAAAAAAAACTGAAATTGTTGATAGAAGTAAATCAGTAATTCCATACTGACCGTGCAGATGGATCAAGTGCACTCTGAACTTCAACTTGCCCGTGGTTTGATCGATGAAAAGGACTCAGAGATCCAGCGTATCCGTCTGAGCAACAACCAGGTATGTTGTTTAGCAATCAAGGGTCTACCATAGAGTGCTGACAGATTGGGTTTATCTCGCATTTGCTTGAAAAGCACTGATTACTTCCATAAACACGTTCAATGCAGTATGTTGAAGAAAATGATAGGCTCAGAGCTATTCTCGGTGAATGGAGTGCTCGAGCCGCAAAGGTACTCTTGGTGCAGTGCTACTGTGTATTTATGACATTTGTCCTTGTTCTCGTTATCATATCTTTGAGTATGTTTAACAGCTTGAACGTGCGCTGGAGGCAGAGCGGGTGTCAAACATCGAATTGCGGAAAAACATTGCAAAGTTTAGAGGTCATTTGTACAAAGAGCAGGAAGCCTGATTTCTCCGTGTTTGAGGAACATGTACATCTTCGGTGTATTATAGCTGGTTCCAGGGCAAGCGGTTTTGACCTAAGACAACTGTCTCCTTGCAGTCATCAGCGAGGTAAGAATACTAGAACTCCCAGACGATCGGCATGTCCAGATTTTTACATAAGACAACTGACTAAAGGCAGTCATCTCGGTGAATACTAGAACTCCAGACGATCGGCACAAATTTTGGATAGAAGAGCATCTCGGTCTGGATCCATTCGGACTGAGATTGATTACGAGATTGGCACATGATTGTTCGATGATGCATATGCATCTAGTGGTTTGCAGACTGCGTAGTTTGATGTACATATGTTCGTAGGTTTGATCATGTAGAGTATGGTATTCCTGTACGGTATTCCTGTGGTTAAAGACTGCTGAGTATCATGAACATGGTAGTGTCTGCTAGTCTGGTTCGCAGCAGACCAGCAGAGTTTGCAGGCTCTGGTCATTCTTGAAGCTCTGCTCCAGATAGGATTTTGCGTACGAAGAGGCAGCTAGGAAAGAATCTTACACGAACAACAAGCTCGCCCCTCCAGTCAACAGAGTTCATCTCAAGTACTAGGTACTCATTCCATTCTAAATTGTAAGACATTTGATTTTTTTGACATCAAGTTTGACCACTCGTCTTATTCAAAAATTTATGTAAAATATCACTTCTTTTGCCCGCGTTTGTTTATTAATAAAATGCTTTAGAATGATTGGATTGACTATATTTTATAAATTTTTTTAATGTGGCACCGAGGGGTTTTCCCCAAAAAGTTAAACGTCTTATGCAGGGCCTGGACGAACATGGTAAGCTCTCCCGTCGTGGAGGCCACCCGCCCGCGTTGGAATGCCAGTTGTGGATCGGTCGGTTGCACCGGGGGTTTCCCCAAAAATAAATTGCAGGGCCTGGACGAACATATGGAGCCAGACTTTGTCAATATTCAGAAGGACGCGTGCTGTGTGTATAGTTTGTAGGTGTAGTGTACACTCCAGGGTGCGCGTCTGTGTGCTTGCGAGTGTGTGTGAGCGTGCGTTCAGATACTACGGCCGTCCCTTAGTAGTCTAGGCTAAAAAAAAAGTATTACGTAATGCACTGAATGAACCTACACCCACAGAGTCACAGACCCAGTTGGGTCACCCGTTTCAAGCCTCATGGGCTACTCGCGCCTGAACCCAGTTGCCACCATAGTGTTCTTTTTTTTTTGGATTTGCTTGTTTTTTCTATGATAATGATATGAAGTGGGCATCGGTCCGTCTGGGCGGACCGCTCCGGGCTCGCTCCCTCTGACTGGGTCAAATGGCTGGCAGCCCAACCGGCCACCCCACTTATTCCCTCCTCTCTCTTACATGTGGGCCCGAACGTCAGCTCCTCTTCTCCTTCCTCCGGACGAGAAACACAACCGCTGCCTGCTTGAACGAGAGAACGCATGTTGCTTCCTGCACCTGGTCCTCAACTCGCCCCACACCAACTCCCCGCCAGCCCACCCCAACAGGCCGCCGCCACGTGAGTCGCTCCCCATCCCCACACCCCCGCCACTGCGCCGCCTCCTCGTCGCTCCTCGCGGGCATCCTCTCCGACCTTGCCGAGATCAACGGCTCCTTTCGGCCGCCGTGTGTGGCCAGGCGCCTAGGAGAGGGGGTCGTCGCTAGTCGGGCCCAAGCCAAGCACAGCAGCAAAGCGGCAGTGCGCCAAAGTCGTGTCACCATATCCGCCACCGGCCCATGACTAATAAAAACTAGAAAACCATTGTCGCCTCGCTCGCTTCTGCTCTACGTCGTTCGGAAGAAGAACGATAGGGTGAAAAATGCATGTTGTAAAGTGTTTCAAGTATTTCAGAGGTATGTGTAAGTATTTCATGCGGATGTTACAAAAGTAGATTAAGATGTTATATATGTTGCAATGGTTGTATATGTATGTTGCAACCTTCTGTTCTCAATGTTTCATCTGTTTCTTCATACGCATGTTTCAAGTGTGTTTATTTGGATGTTGCATGTGTTTCACACATATGTTGCAATTGTTTTATCTTGATGTTGCATATGTTTTATAATGGTTTCAAGTGTTTTTAGGTGTTTTTGCAAGTGTTTTGCGGATGCATGTTTCAAGTGTTTCATCTGCCTTCAGACGTATGTTGCAGGTGTTGTATCTAGATATTTTAAAAGTAGATCGGGTGTTGCATCTCCGTCCTCGCTTTCCGTTGCCTCGCCTCGGTGTCTCCTCCTCCTAGTGCCGGCTGGACATCCGCCGCCCCCCTCTTCTCGATGTTGACGACGTTCGGGCTAGTGCGGGCCCGGCGTGGGTGTGCGAAATAGCACGGAAACAGACTGCAGGCGCGGGCGTTCGCCTGTCCGTCCGGACGCTTGCCAAGCATGTTTTTCGTATTCTGTCGGACTCTTTCTTTGTTCTTAGTGAAGTTTAATCTGGTATCTTCTACGTAGGTCTTCGTAAGCTTGTCACGTGTTATACGATATTCCTCTGGTTAAAGACTGACGAGTAGTCATGTTATTGCGTTTACTTGCAACGAATCCTACGGCAGCGATTAATTTGCATTGACAGTCTAGAATGGACACATCCACAACGAAGATGTTTGGAAGAGATCACGCGTCTTTTTATGCCCATGGACGTCCTGAGATGAATACTAGATGATATGGACTGTATGTTCGGACAGTCTAGCACGGACAGAATTCGATTCCAGGGGAACACGAAGTGAAGACGAAGTCGCCGATTTGTGGCTTGTGGCTACAGTTTCAGTGCCGGGAGAATAGATACTTTGCCAATGGCTTCTTTCATTTCCCACACAAACACAGGTGGATGCGTAAAGGCAGCACTGACAGATCATCACAGCAACTAAGGAATCTCCATGGGAATATTTTGGTAAATATCCTCCCACCATTTCTTCGTCTTGTGTGGTAGAACATCACATAACGTGGGGTCCCATCTGCGTAGCCTGGTGACGGTGACCAAATGCCCTTCTGTTTGCAAATTGAGGTTAAAAGACCACCAGTTCTCCATGCTACTTCAAAAAATCGAAAGAAGGAAGCAGCACCAAGTCCAAGTCAACTTGTACCTAAAATCTGGCAGAAGACCATTCAAATGTCATTTCGTCGGTGCTTAAAACCAAGCACCCGTCCTTCTCCCCCCAAAAGGCCAAAACCATGAGGCGCTTATGGTGGCACAATAACATCCAAATATATCTCTGCTTTGAATTTGAAAATCTGAAATGACGGCATAAATTTCGAATGAAAAAACTGCCCTGCATTTTCCTGGTGGAAAAAAATCTCTAGACGGGCCCACCTGGGCACCTGGCTACCCCCAACCGTAAGTGTCACGCAACGGAACGGAACGTGTCGCTTTCCTTTCACGCCTTCCTCCCGCGTTCGCTCCCATCTCCCGCCTCCCTCCCATCTCCGCCCTCCCTTCTCCAGTCTCCACCCTCCGCGCCGACGCCTCTGGTGTCTGGTCAGGCGGTCACCAGCAGCGCCACCACGCCACCGACCATTTGCCGCGTTGGCGTTGCCGGATCCTCGAAGCAGTCAGCCCACCCCGCCCGGACCCGAGAACCCGCGCGCGCGCGTATTAATAACGGCCACCTCGCTCCCCCGCCCGCCCCAGAAGGCCGAGGGAAGCGCACGCACCTAGCGACCAGCACACAGATTCGTTCCACGCCCCCCTCATCCGCGCTCCCAGATCTCGCGCGTCTCCCGCAAGGTACGGACGCGGATCCCGCCACCATTTTTTTGCTAATGCTTATGGCGTTCGACCTTCTCCGTCCATGTATCGTTGGTTGGTTGATTGATCCCTCGAGTCTTGTGGGTGAGATCTGAGTTGCTCGGGGGGCGAGGGGAGGGGGATCTCGGTTTGAATGAGTTGATTTGGCAGTTTAGGGTGCGTATCTGGTCAGTAGGGATCCAGAGATGGGGCGTTTGGAGCCGGATCTAGAGGCGGTTCCGCCTTTCGCTAAGGAGAGTACTCGTATAGGGAGGCCCCCTGATTTTCTGCTTCTAGAAGGGTGCGTCAGGTGCTCCTGCTGTGTGATCTTTGTCGCCTTGTGACGCTGGGACCGGGAAATTGGCGGGAGTTGTCAGAATAATACAAAAATAGCTGGTGCCACGAGATCAGGGGAGTTCAGATCAGGTTATGACTTATGATTATTTGATCTTCTGATTGTTAATGACATGAATCAGTGCATCTGTTGGTAAAGGTAGAACATTGTCGGATCCTACCTAGGATGCCTTCTTCATTGAGGCGCTGTATAATTTTTCTCAGTTCATAAAGCCAGCACCTTTTGCACTCCTAAGAGTATAGCGCCCAATAGAATGCATGGAATGGGTTGCACTTGAATTGCTTGGTGGCGAATCAATATGTTAGCTGATTGACTTCTAATGCTGCAAACATGAGACAATCAGTATAAGCTAATCTGTCGTTACAACCTAGTTGATATACTTTATCCGGTGTCCCTATTATGTAACATTGTATTTCTCGGTAAACAAAAGTGGTTGCTTACTTGCTTTGCCCTTATTATGAAATGGTTCCTTTTTTTTTTTGCATTTGATATGTGCAAGTTTGGAATTTTGTTGTACAAAGATGCAATACCAATTGTAATCAAACTGCAGGGTAGTTTTGAGCCATGGGCACAGTTGTGGATGCCGCTCCAGCTGTTGTGGCTGAGGAGGTACTTTGCATTACTCATTTACTTGGAGTTCCTTATCCCCTATGTATTCAATAATTGGCTCTGCTGCAAAGCACTAGGTTCATTGAGAATGTTCAGCATCTTACCTTTTCATTAACAAAATATAATTGGGATTGCTGAACCCTTTAGTTTAAAGGTCAGGCATTTCTAAGTTTCTAAATTTCTATTACATCAACAGTTGGTGCCCTTGAACCTTGCATTTTTATAACTAAATTTCAGCTGATTTTGTTAGTGCGTATGCCTTGCTTATTTTTCTGTCTGATTCATGCTTCTTGAAATCAAATCAATCTCCATATCCTTAAGGAAATTGTGCTTCCTGCATGTTTTCATTAAAGAAATGGCCTCATCATCTCATATGACTCGTGCTATTCATAAACTATGGTTCATCTTAGAAATGTGCTCTATGTGCAGGTCACTGAGAACATGTTGGGTGGCAAGAAAGTTACAGTTGTATTTGTTCTAGGTATCTGTTCTATCTTCAGTAATTTTCGGCTATTTGTGTCCTACCACAGAAGAGAATTTTTTGTTATTTGTGTCCTAGCATAGAAGAGCAGGAGCTTATAACAGCTTTGAACTTAAATGAGTTCATGTGTTCTATGGGGCTACTATGTGCACTTTAAATAGATGATTTTGTTTTGCATCTGACCAAGAATTTACACATAGGTGGTCCTGGAAGTGGAAAGGGCACACAGTGTGCCAACATTGTGGAGCACTTTGGATTCACCCATCTTAGTGCAGGAGATCTTTTGCGTGCAGAGATTAAATCTGGCTCTGAGAATGGGTATGTTTTTCCCTCTATAAGAAAGCTTAACTTATCCTTTTCATTTATTTTTCCTTCTGTACAGACTTTTTTCTTAGAGAAAACGCAGGATCAGTCTTGTTGAGCTGCACATTTGACATTTGTGCGTTCTCTCTCCACGGTGCTTCTTGATGTTTCACAGAACCATGATCGAGAACATGATAAAGGAGGGAAAGATTGTTCCATCGGAGGTGACTATAAAGCTGTTGCAGGAGGCAATGATAAAAAATGAAAATGATAAATTCCTGATTGATGGATTTCCAAGGAACGAGGAGAATCGTGCAGCGTTTGAGAATGTTGTAAGTCCCTCTTTTTTGTACGAATTTTTTTCCGGTTCTCATGCCAGTTTAAGAAATTATTGTTCCGTTCTTTTAGTTACTTATAAATGAATTTTTAGACTATTAATTCTTTCTCATTCCTTCAGACCAAAATTTCTCCTGCGTTTGTGCTATTCTTTGACTGTTCCGAGGAAGAGATGGAGAGACGTCTCTTGGGGCGCAATCAGGTTTCCTTCATCGTTAACCATTTGTGGTTTTTAGTCACAAAATTCTCGTTTCCAATATTTCTTACTGTCTTTGCAGGGAAGAGTTGATGATAACATTGAAACTATCAAAAAAAGGTTCAAAACCTTTGTTGAATCAAGTTTGCCTGTCATTGAGCATTACAACTCAAGGGACAAGGTTAAAAAGGTATTGATGAACTTTTATCTTGCCAGCGGTACTCCTATTGCACTCCGATGATGCAAATATGTGATGTATTATACAGTAGAAATAAAACCAGAGTAAGATGCACATTAGAATAAATACGTGAGGTTAGAAGGATATTTTAGATCTATCATGTGTGTTCCTTTGCTAATGGCCATTATAGTTCACATATCAATTAAGACGCAAATATGTGATGTCTTATACAGTAGAAATAAAGTCAGAGTAAGATGCAATTAGAATAAGTACCTGAGGTTAGAAGGATATTTTAGATCCATCGTGTGTGTGTTCCTTTGCTAATGGCCATTATAGGCCACATTTTAATTAATTGATGGCCTTCTCTTTTTGCAATGTTTTCACTTTAGCCCCTATAGTAACTTTTCATTTTTTCAGATTGATGCTGCAAAACCAATTCCTGAGGTGTTTGAAGACGTCAAAGCCATTTTTGCCCCATATTCTCCAAAGGTAATTAGGTTTCACTTGTTCTTTGTGTATTCTTTTGCAAATGTAGCATTTCCAGATGGATCTTTATTCTCATGTTTGCCTTAGCATTGCATTGAATATGTTGTTTTCCATCTTTAAATGTATGTCTACAAACATTAAATTATGTTCACCTTTAAAAACTTCAATTTTTTCCCCTTATGTTTGCATGACTAAAATACTAGTACAAATCTACTCACTCATCACATCGTTTTCTCTACCAGGCTGAATAGAGCAATCTAAGGGACATGATAAAGGTGATACATGGTGTCATAGGTATACCCTCTATATTGTGCCTGGCCTAAATGATTTCATCTGGTTCTTGCCACCATAAGTGAGATTCTCATGCAATCTTCATAATCTTTTTGCAGGCACCACACAAACATATCTGTGATTAAGAACCCTTTAATATAGAACAAAAGTTTTGGCTCATATGAGCTACCAGCATATCAGTAGGCAATTCGATTTGTTACCAGCAATAAGTAGATCTGATTCCCAGTGGTCCTGCTAGAGTAACATTTTACCACTGTGTTGTTTATGTATCCTTTGATGTTGTGTTGTGCCAATGTGTAATTTTACTTTATGGACTGATGAGACCTTGTGCCATTCCACCAGGTTTCTTGTTCTATGGAAAGTGTGAAACTGCTGCCATATTCTTTATGCGTTGAAATATATTCATTGCACCGAACTTTTGTCTGATAAACTTGTAATAATACCCTCTCGGCAGTAAATATATACGCTTAACAAGCCTCTTGTAGATGCTGCTGCTTAGATTGAGAGTATAATGACATGTTCGAAGTACCCCAGTGTCATGAATCATAAAGCCAGAGAGGTCCAGTACCATAGCATATTCCGTATGGTCTAGATTTTTTTTTTGTTGGACGGAGGTAGTATAAGGTTAATTGGAGGTAGGCATGTTCCCTTCTCTCTTCTGAGGTCGAAGATGTCGCCAAAAAAAATCACAACAGCACATATGATGGAATCCGACTGTTCTGCACCATTTGGGCCAGATTCAATGAATGTTGCACCTTCCAATTTGAGAAGGGAAAACGATACAAATCTTGGGCCCCTCTCCAACGACGCCCAAAGTATATGGCTGAATGAATGGATGGTCCACACTTCACAATTATTACATACTATTTTCTTTCCTCTACAACTGAAATCCCGGGCCAAGAAGGGGGGGGACTGTGCACTGGAGCAACAGTGAAATCCCTTCTGAAACCCCAGGCCAAAAGGGGGAAAAAATCTGTGCACTGGAGCAACACTGAGATCCCTTCATTTGTATCCTATAATCCCAATCCTAAAAAGACTTAAGAGAGGCCAGTAGGCCACTCTGATCCATCGCATGGTAGCTTAAGCTTTTATATTTGGACCCTCCAGTGGGGATCACACCACATATATTATTATATACATATATATATATATATATATGCGTATCTCGCACGTAGCCTTTGCTAAGCTGGTAGTAGGCATGTGGGCGCTGCAAGACGGTAAGCAAGCACTCCATGTGGGCGCCAACCAAACCGGCAGATGGAGAGCCATCACTCACACCAGAAGCTCCAGCGCTAGACCTATATAGGCATATAGCGTTTGATCGGTACATAGCATACTAGCATGCAGTTGGGCGGCCCCCTGGCCCCTGCCGACGCGCGCCGCCCAGGCCGTGAGACCCATCGAGAGTCCCCGTCGGTCGGCCCAAGAAGAATCGGCAGTTCCACACGCTGCGGCCACAAGAACTACTGTATTTTCCCGCCGAGTGGGCTGAAGGGTGCCCACTGTTAGTTGGGCGACGTGAGGTGGAGAATAGGGTGCGTGTGCGTCCGCATGCAAAATCCATCCCGTTCTGTTCAGTTTGGCGGTGCCCCACCCACAGACCCAACCCAAAGACCACAAGCCGATGCCACATGTGGAGAGACAGTTCTGGATTGCCGCCGAGTCATGTCATGGCCTGGTCCACCCCACCCCCACCATGCGTCCATGCGCGTCTGTAAAGGAAATCGTCCCTCTTTTTTTTGCAAAGGCAGAGGCGCAAAGTCGTGGCCAGGCCTCCTCCAACGTGTTTGCCAATTGCCATGCTTGTTTGCTAATCTTACTACTGGTAGCAGTACCTTTCTGCCGGTGTCATGGGTTGACGCGTGCCCTAGAGTCTGGGCTCTGGTTGGTCGCCGTGTTGGGGTTAATTTGGCGCCGGAAACGTCAAGCGAGACGCTTCAAAGCTTGGTTGGCCGCCGGGCCGTGGCGCCCATGGGCGGAGCTATAGTCATGACTGTGGGTGTGACGTCAAAATTTAAAAAACAGTAGAAAAACGGGCATGTTCAGCTAGCAGAATTTTGGCTGAAACTGGCTGAAAACACTATTCTAGTTGAATTATTGTGAGAAAAAATATTGTTCCAGCTGAAAAAAGAAACCAAACAAACAAAATATAGAGTAAACCGAACGGGCCCAACGCACCCTTCCCAGATTTGCTCTAGCGCCTCTGATGGCGCCGGCAGGGTGCGTCAACGTCCGTGGACGGCGGTAGGGGCCGCGACGAAAGCATCAGGATCGGCGGCCAGCAGCCGCTCCACGCCAGAACGATCTGGGCGCCGGCGGGATCTCGCCGTCTCTCGGTGCCCATCGCTTTCGGCAGCATATCCTGCGATTCCCCCGGCCTGGATTCCTTTTCTCTCCGACAATCGGGGCTATTTGCACCCAGGTCACCAAACATTCTCCATATTCGGGTATTATATATGGATGTGTGTTTACATCTTTTTGGTGCTAATTTGTTAATTTTTTCCACGAGTATAGATGCTTGGATGCATACACACGTACTCTCGTACTCACTTCTATGAATGTGGACACGCACAACACACCGTACCCCTTCCAAATGACCGGGGCCGATAGATAGAAAATTGACGATGTCACTAAAGAGATCTCGTAATAATCAACAGGCATATTACCTACCTCTTAAAATAATAACGTCATTACTCATTAAATCTTAGATAAAATTAAAAAAATACAAGCACTCACTTTCTAGGAAGGCAGGCACTGAAATATAACGAGATGAACTATGTTCAATTCATTGCTAATTCATCATTTTATGGTTGTTGCAACCGAAATTGCATATGGTAGGTTCATTACAGGGTTGATATCAAAAATAAATCACCTAATACTTCTCTCTGTAATAATAAATATATATGACATCTTTGAACTTATTATTTTGCCCTAATAAACGTTACTCCTTCGGTTTCTATAAGAAAGCCATTTAATTTGTCTAAAATCAACAAATTTATATAGGTAAAAATTGTCAACATTTATAACACCAAATGCATACTAAGAAAACATATTTCACGATGAATCTAATAATTCTTCCTCCCCCAAAAAATCTAATCATATCCTTATTTCGTATAATAAAATTTTGATAGTTTCAAACTAGGGTCAAATCTAAGACGTTTTGACTTATGATAAAATAAAATATTTTTTAGAGAGAAAGTATTGTATATTTAAAAACTAAGAGGGTACTATAGCATTTAGCAGAAAAATCAGGCATTGTAAGAGGACTGGCAAGAAAAAAGGGGGCCTTTTGGTCACGCTCCGCTCCCTTTAAAACCCGTAATCAGAGCGGAGGCCGAGCAGGCATAAAGCAGAGGCGCGCGCACTTGTAACGTGTTGTTGGTTTGGTTGCCCTTCCTCTCTCACGGCACGGTCACGGGCGGAGAGCGCACGGCACGAGTTTTAATCACGGGCGGAGAGCGCCGAAGTGATAAACGGTGGCAGGCAGCGGTCGCCATCAAACTGCAATTAGTTTTTTTTAATACGAAACCGCCACCAAGACCACAAATATTGCTTCCGGCCTAACTTTTTCACCTCTCCCACACGCCCAAGACGAATTGCTTCCGGATTTCACCTCTCCCATTCCCTTGGAATCCGGCGATCCGGCGAGGAAGCGCCCGGCACTCCACGCCACGCCGCGGCGCCCGGGGAAGGGAGGCGTGGAGCCCTAGACCTCTTCTCCAGCCCCGCTGCAGCCAGCGCGAGGCGGCGCCGCACGAGCACGACGGTCACCATCAGCCACCGCGCGATCCCGCGGGACGGCCAGGCCAGGTTCGGCGCTTTTGCTTTGTGGAATCGTGGTCCGAGCATCGAACGCGGGATCTGTTGCGGGTGTGTTGGGGGAAGTGGGGTTTGTTTTGGGATTTGAGCATTTGGCTGTCTGGTGCTGCGCGGTGAGGCTGGGCGGCGTTACTATTGGCGGCCTCTGGCCTCTGGGGGTTGGTGCTAGGTACGGTTGCAAACGGCGCGGGCTGCGCCGCTAACCCGCTGGACTACCCGCGCTGCAATCCCGCGTAAACCCGCGCCGCAAACCCGCAAGACCGGAGCGGGTCGACGCGGCTTGTCCGCGTAGTCCAACGACCAACGGCGCCGCAACGTTCGCAGACCTAGAGGAAGAGTACTGCGAGCCACGCGCGAGCGCGTCGGATCCATGAAGTGCGGCTACTTCGTCGGACCCGTCTCACTCCCAGCCAGCGGTGGCTGGTGGGCGTGTTCCTGACGCACTGTGGGTCGATAGCTCGCTGCTGGAGGCGGCGGCCGCCGGCGTGCCGATGCTGATGTGGCCGCTGGTGTTCAACTAGTTCATCGAGGAGAGGCTGGTGACGGACGTGCTCAGGATCGGGGAGCGGGTCTGGAGCGGGGCGCGGAACGAGGTACGAGGAGAGGGAGCTCGTGCCGGCGTAGATGCAGGCCATGGCGGCAGAGGCCTCGTCTTGTTCGTCCCCGCCTGGGGGTCGTCATCGACCATGGTCCATGGATGGGTTGGGTTTGCGGTCGGCGTCTCAGCGATGCACAGCGCGGTGTTCTGGTCGCGACTCACAAGGTATGCGGCGCTACGCGGGCTACTGCGAAGCCCGCAAAAGCAAGCGGCGTTATGCGGGCCGCCGCATCTGCCCGCAAACTCCCTCGCGGCTATTGCGGACGCGGGGCGGGCTGACCGCTGCCGCGCCGTTTGCAACCGTAGTGCTGGGTGAATGTGAATCCTCGGGGGCAAGAGCGAGACAGAAATGCTATATAACACACGTATATTTTAGTAAAAAAAAAAACACATGGATTTTTTTTTATCCTCTCTCTCCCTCTCTCTCTCTCACCGATGACCACCGGCGACCGGTGAGCTGGCGGCGGCGGCGGTGGATCCGTGATTTGTCCTTCCATAGAAAAAAAAATTGTGATCTGTGATCTGTGGAGGCTGGATGTTGAAGAAGGGTGGAGGCTGTTGGATCTTAATCCTATGGTGCAAAAAAATTCATGTGTTAAAACTGCATAAAACACATAGTCGTAGTAGAGACTCAAACGGGGTGAGATTTTGGGTGCTCTTTCAGGCTCGTTTCTGCGAGGTATTAATTTTGATCGAGTTAGAACATCTTAGCAGATAGATCATCACTGTTTTGCTTTGTTTACTTTTGAGGTCGTGCGGTTGTCCGTTTTGTTTTTCAGGAGATAGTTTGAGAAGAGTATTTTAGGATCTAGTTTGAGAAGCTCTACTTTTATTTTACAAAATGGTTTGAGAACATCCAGTTGCAATTTTGATGTGAATTTTTTAGTATCGTTTCATATGTATTGATCTGAATGTTTTCGAGACTATTAAATAGTGCTGTTAAGGTCTACATGCAAATGCTGCTGTAAAATAGTTATTTATGTCCAGGAAAAAAAATAGTTCCCTGTAAGCATGCATGCAATTGACATATTACTATCTTTATTTCCTGATTCACTTCTGTTGCTCCAATTGACAGATTCAGCAAAGTTTCACTCTTATTAAACTCCCCGACTTCATCTAAGGAAGCAAGTGATTTCATTATGAAAGACTGGTCTATTTTCTCCAAACTTGATCATAATGGAGCTTACCTCCCCAAGTTCCCAATCGACTCTCCAGTATCTCATGAAATTGGGTTAGGATTGATATCACAAGTTGGAAACTTAGTTGAGTGTTCATTTCAACATCCAAGGCATATATGTGCTACAGGGAGTGGAGCAGTTCAGGAAGCGTTCAGCAGTTTCAGCAAGTTTGCTGGAGCTTTCTATTTCTGGTTTTCTAGAGCATCGAATCCTAAGTTATTCCAAAGGCTATCAGCTGCTGCAGGCTCAAGTTCACGAGCTTGTCGGTCACACATAAAGCAAGTGACCTCTTGCTTGCAGCATTTACCGGGACTGCAGTTTGGTTCACAATTAAGAGAAGAGCATGCTATACAAATGCTTTTAGCAAGTCTTGGGAGCGCAACTTTTGGACGCTTGTGGACGGAGGTGGAGGAGCGACATGCCTGCAACATCCTTATGCTGGCTGCTGCTACTGTAATACCACCATTTGAAAACATGTATGACTGTCTGAGTTCACCACATGCTATTTTCTGAGCTGACACAACTTACTTTTACCATTTGTTTTTTGAACTTTTTGTAGTTTTGGTTTTTGCTTTGTTAATTTTTTTTATCCATGGACAAGAATGCCGAAGATGCTGGCTGAGTCAATGGCACTAAGAAAAGATGGTGGACACACCCGAGAGCCTGCTGAACAGTCTTATTCGGAGGAAAACCGTCCAGGTTGTGCGTGTGTTGCTGTGCCAAGAGTACTCTTACCAGAAGATTTAACAGAACCAAAAACTGGCATCAAGTTCCCCACTCTACTCAAAGACAATTCCAATCTGACTACAGAGGTCCCTTTTCAAGCTTGCTTCTGTGGATTTTTGTTTCCTGGGCCAATATTTTTCCCCATATTTGCATATGAACATCACAATGCTCTACAAAAAATCTATAATGTTGATGCTTTCTAGGTACACTGTACACTGCTCCACTTGATACATGGATCTGATGGTTAAATTGGCAGGTCCTTGTTGGAATGGGTTTCAGAAGTATGCGGATAATGAGGGTCAAAGATCTGAATCTTTATGCCTTTGGATTATGTGAGTAACACAACTTTTTTTCACGCTTACTGTTTTTATGACTTGCTAATCGGTAGTTACTGCTTAATTATAGTCTTTTGGTTACTTATTATGTTATATTGACATATTCTCAGATATACAACCTGATTCTGTTTGCAAGAAGCTGGGCCCAAAGTATGCTTGTATTCCAGATGCTGAGTTGAAGGATCACCTAGATTTCTACGAAGATCTTCTGAGGTGTGCAATGCCTATTGATCGTTTATTTGTCTTCATGAATTCTATTATTAAAGATCTTCCCCAAATTCTGGCCTTTGCCTAGTCAGTTAGACCTTACATTACACATAAATAGTGTCAGCTAGGCATGCATTTAAAAAAATGCTAGGAAATGTTGGTTTCATTAAAAAAATGTGTCACGTATAGAGCACTTCTCCAGTCCAGACCTGCAACTGCTTGAAAATCATTTATAATACTATTTATTTTGTGGGCTTCTGATGCTGCATAGGAATCTTCTTTTTATCTGACACTGCAAAATTTACTTTAATTTTTTTCCCTTTATCTGCATTCTATTTTCCTGTGATGCTAACAAACTTTCAATCTTTTCCAGGGAAAATATTGATATGACTGTGAGGCTAGTAGTAAGCTACAATGGCCTCAGCATTGGCACAGTTCGAGAGTAAGCATTCTTTTCTTTATATTTGATTCAAAAAAATATATTAGTATCTATGCAAGTTGAAGTTAATCATTTGTCTCAACATGCTTTCCAGTGCATTTGAGAAGTCTCTTGGCTTCCGGTTGCAAAAGGTATTAGCTGTTTATTCAGCAATTATTTCATCCTTTCCTAACCATATAGGCCTAAGTGAGCTTTTTGTGTATACTTACTGAACCAGAGCTGATTATTTGCTTGTATACTTTACTGAACCAGATGAATCTATAATACTGATTATGATTGCGAAATTTGAAGACATTTGCACTTTCGTTTTTATTTTTAGTGTTCAATCAGACTCAAAACGTTTCGTATACCCTGCAATTAGTTTTTTTTTGTACATTTAAGTTTCTATGTTATGTCTGGGCTACGTAACTTAGTGCATTTGGTGTGAGAAGTTAAAAGTCAATGCAACTGCAGGGTACAAAGATAGACTTCCGGCAAACATCTGATGGCCAGCTAATAACTGAAAGTTAGTACCATATAGCTTATTTGTTTCCACATGCTTTAGTTTCTTGCCTCCACTACAATGTCTTGACTAAGAACCGTGTGCAGTTGATGGCAAACAAATTGGCACTGTCCAGAGCAAAGATCTTTGCAGTAAGTCAGAGTGTCAAAGATACTGGACTCTTATGCATTTATTATCTAGATTTTCCAAATCATTAATGGTTATTAAATCATGTATTTATGAACAGGAGCCTTCTTCGATATGTATATTGGTGACCCCCCTGTTTCAGTGGAGACCAAACAAGACATTGCGCAAAATGTGGCTGGACTCATAAGAAGATGCTAGGAAAACCGGAAACCTAAATTGAAGAACTTGGAATCATTTCATTCATCTATACAAGGAGAGGAGATATAAATAGAAAGGAAACCAGGAGAAGATCGATTGTATTTATTGTGGTACAGTGACTTTGTAAACTATAAACAGGCAAAAAGTTTCAACAATATAGAGGCTTAGCATCCTTGGCAAATGCCCCCATGCTTTTCATATAGTTTGGCATTTTGCCATTTCCTGGCCGGCTGGCGCACTGTGTCATGTACAAATAAATGGTACAGTAACAAGGTGTACAACAAGAGGATGTTTCTCTAACCCCAAGTAAAAAATGGCGGGGTTCAGCTTTGTTCCTACAGATTGATGGTTCACCCTTTTTTATATGTGATCTGCCGATCTTTATTTAGCAAAGTTGCTGATACTCGTCTCGTAGTGAGTAGGGTGCTTGTCTTTACGTCTGTTCTCACTGGAAGTTGAAAACAGCAGGTTAGGTACTGTACAAGGGAATTTTAGCAAGTTAACAGCTCGCGGGGCTCTTAATAATCACTGAATTATTACCCCAGGCGATTACATTGATGTTTGGGACCGTAATAGCACTAGTACTTACTACTCCGTATTTGTGTTGGAGGCTTGGAGCACCCGATCGAAATGTGCGACAGAAATGATTTTGCTGGCAAATTTAGTGCATTTGATTAGGAGGTCATCTCATTTTGGCAACTTGACAGCATGCACTGCATTAACCATCACGATTGAGGAGCAACGGTCACCTGGCTCTGGCTCTGGAAACACCTTCCTCATTCCTTAACCGCATCAGGGCATCACAAAACCAAGACCCGCCACTTCCATTCCATGACGGGCTGAGCAGAGGTGGTGTTAGTGTAGCCGAAACGTTGTGGGCCGAACACCTCGCAAACCGCCTGGGTGGTGGGTGCCCCTCCTCCTGAATCCAAGCGCGTCCCTTCCTTTTCCGTCGCCTCCCAGTTCGCGTGCCCCATATCCCCCAGGTGCCCGGTGCTCGCCTCTCGCGTCGTTCCGCCATGCGCGCACTGAGCCACGGCAGCAGCATGCGCGCCCACGTCGCCCTGGCCCTCGCAGCGCTGGTGCTGGCCGGCGACGCCCTGCACCCGGCGCTGGCCGCCGGCGGCTTCGACTACAAGGATGCCCTCACCAAGACCATCATATTCCTCGAGGCGCAGCGCTCCGGGAAGCTGCCGCCCAACAACCGCGTCAAGTGGCGCGGCGACTCCGCGCTCGACGACGGCAAGCTCGCCAATGTACGATGATATGACGCGTGTCCATCGTCTTCTTATTTCTCCATTTTCTTCTTGGACATTGGTCGTCCCTTCATGGATGCAGATGCGAAACTGACATGTATAATGTGATTGAAATGATCAGTTCCGTCCGAACGGATAAAAAAGATACAGCAGATTTACTGTATCTCCATATTCATGTAATATATCCTGCCATATATAGCGGTATGGCACTAACAAGAGCTTAATGTGTGCCCGATCGATCGATGGACGCGATCGAGCAGGTGGATCTCACCGGCGGATACTATGACGCCGGGGACAACGTCAAGTACGGGCTGCCGCTGGCGTTCACGGTGACCACGCTCGCGTGGACGGCGCTGGCGTTCAAGCCCGAGCTGGAGCAGACCAAGGAGCTGGAGCACGTGCAACAGGCCATCAGGTGGGGCACCGACTACCTGCTCAAATGCGCCGCCAGGAAGAACAAGCTGTGGGTGCAGGTGAGACGCCGGCGTCTGCCCGTGCGTGTTTAATCGATCCCTGAGTTCGACGACGGAAATCCTCCATCTTTTTTATGTCAGGTCGGCGACCCCAACTTGGATCACCAGTGCTGGGTGCGGCCGGAGAACATGAAGGCGCCGCGGACGCTGTACGAGATCGACGAGAAGACGCCCGGGACGGAGATCGCCGCCGAGACGGCCGCCGCCTTCGCCGCGTCCTCCATGGTGTTCCGCAACGACAAGAAGTACTCGCGCGCGCTCCTCAACAAGGCCAAGCTGGTTAGCATGCAGGCTCTTTCTTTTGTACATCTGCTTATATATTAGCCGCGTAGTATGTAACATTTGCTATCATTGGTTCGGTCCGGCCCAATGCAACAGCTGTTCCTGTTCGCCAAGGCCCACCAGGGCAGCTACGACGGCGAGTGCCCCTTCTACTGCTCCTACTCGGGCTACAACGACGAGCTGCTGTGGGCTGCGACGTGGCTTTACCTGGCGACGAAGCGTCAGGTGTACGCGGACTTCATCGCCCACGAGGCCATCTCGTCGAGCGTGGCCGAGTTCAGCTGGGACCTCAAGTTCCCCGGCGCGCAGGTCCTCCTGGCCGAGTTCAACATGACCTCCGGCGGCGGCGCGCAGAACTTCAAGGTGCAGGCGGACAACTTCGTGTGCGCGGTGCTCCCCGACACGGCGTTCCACCAGGTGTTCATCACCCCGGGCGGCGTGATCCACCTCCGCGACGGCGCCAACACGCAGTACGTCACCAGCACGTCGTTCCTCTTCGTGGTCTACTCCGACCTGCTGCTGCGGACGGGGCAGTCCGTCATGTGCGGGAACCAGCCCGTGGCGCCCGCGCGGCTGCGGGAGTTCGCGCGGCAGCAGATGGACTACCTGCTGGGCGCCAACCCGCGGCACAGCTCCTACGTGGTGGGCTTCGGCGCCAACTCGCCCACGCAGCCGCACCACCGGGGCGCCTCCACCCCCGTGCTGGCCCCCGGCACCGACGTCAACTGCGGGCTCAGCTTCGGGGAGTGGATGGCGCCCGACAAGCCCAACCCCAACGAGCTCACGGGCGCCATCGTGGGCGGGCCCGACAAGAACGACGGGTTCGTGGACAAGCGCGGCAACTCCTCTTACACTGAGCCCTGCACCTACATCAACTCCCTCGCCATCGGCCCGCTCGCCGCGCTCGCCGTCCGCGGCGCGCAGCTCGTCGCCACGCATTGATGACTGATCGATCCCCGTGGCTCCATGCATGCCTGATGACTGATGTCGCGCTGTTTCTTCCTTCATTCATTTCTACTGATCCATCGATTCCGCCCCCGCCGTACGGTTGCCGGTTGGTTATGTTAGGTGTATGTACGTGCGGACCCAAATCGATCTCATCCTGTTTCTGTACGTTCGTACGTGTCGATGATTAAAACTAAAATCTATGGCTTTTGGATGGATAAATTTTCACTGCGTTTCCGGCTTGCATGTGAAGATGTGATCGAGATTGCATCATAGGCAAAACGGATCGACAGCTTTCACTTCATTTCACTCTTGGATTTGATCCAGTGTCTGCATGCAGCTGAGATTGCTGACTACGTGTGCTATATAGAGAGAGAGAGAGACGTGATGAATCCGTGATGGATCGGTCGGTCGGTGCTTTCGGGCCGGCCTGATTTGATGCAGCATGCTGCACAGGCACAGGCGCACAGCACAATAATGCTCTCGGCGCAAAGGTTCGCGCGAGTTTGTTGGGGTAGGTCTCTGTTGGCTGTTAGGCTGGCGGTACGTGCTGCTTCCACCGGAGCCGGCCGGTCGTGGCGTGTTGGTTCGGCCGTTCGGCCGGGGACGTGCGTGCGTGGATCGGAGCCGTGGACCACCGCCTTTTCCGACCCACGCGCATGTACACGTAGGGATGCTCGCTCGTGTGTGTGTTTTGTACCGGCCTCAGCTTTTTAACCGAAATAAACTTTTTTTTGAGGGAATTAACCGAAATAAACTTAATTTGCCAGAGATCATGGTCATGCCATCTAATGTCCATCACCATTGAATCTTCAACTACACACGCGAATATCGTGCTACGGAGTATGTGTTAGTCACTTTGTCCTACTTAGCAAATGCCGACTTTGGTAAGATTGAAAATCGCCTTGGGAAGCTCGGACAAAATGACTACTCGCTCTGTCCTAAATAAAGATCATCTAGAGTTATGTTCATATTAGACTTTCTAAAATTTGACTAGATTTATATAAAATATTAACAATATTTATATATCTCAAAATAAATTTATTATAAAATATTCAATGATTAATCTAACAATATTTATTATGCACTATAAATTTTAATAATATCTTGTATATATGGTCAAAGTTGAAAAATACTTAACTTCTTACGAAATGATAATGATGCTCTTTATGGGACAAGAAAGTACATATCTCATAGCAGGAGGAGCATCGCAGAAAGACTGTTTTCTTTTTTAAAAAAAAAGTTGCATCGCAGAAAGACTCTCGAGACCAATGGAGAGATAGAAAATATGAACCCAGTTTAAATGCAGGAATTTTTGTTTGATGGATTCACCTTAGCAATGTTTTGTTTCTTCTTTTGTTAGTAGTATTCTTGTTTAGGTAGTACTCATTTTATTCTAAATTACTGTGTACTTTAGCTTTGTTATTTAGATCAACATTTATAACTTTGTAAGTTTATAGTGAAATTACACCAACATCTATAGCATATTAGCATATCCGCATATCCATTTTGTTCTTCACCCCGTAGGCATTATAATTTCAAGAAGAAAAGGAAAATGTTAAAAGAAAAAGGTGAAAAGGATAAAAAAATCTTCAAAAGCTGCCCTATTTTGTTTTTTCCAAGAAAGATAAATACCACGCGAACCCAGCCCGTGCCTTCTTAAAAAACCAGTCCTAGTCGCCACGCTAGTTGCTCGCCGTTACTGCTCTTTCGGTACCCGTGCGCGTGCGCGTGCGCGTGTGAAGGCGAGGAGTCGAGTGAGCGAGAGCGAAAAGAAACAAGAGGCGGCGGCTGCTGCTGCTGCTGCTTCCGTTGCATGTGAGGCGAGGCCGCGAGAGGAGCGCGAGCCATGTCGATCGCACTGGAGCGCGGGCGCGGGCTGGGCGGCGGCGGCGCCCCTCGGTTCGGCCGCGTCGCCCGCTGCGGCTACGCGGCTTCGCCGCCTGCGTCGGCCGGGCGCGGCGGCTCGTCCTCGGCGGGGCGGGACAGCGACAGCCCCGCGGCGGCGGCGCAGTGGGAGTGGGACGGCGAGGAGGTCGAGGGC